GCATGGAGGGTTTCATCATGAGCTGACATCAGTTAGAGAACCACTGGAAAACCAGCTGGGAGTACTGGACAGCTGTTTCATCCTAGTTTGGGACTCTTCAGCAGTACGCACCCAACGGGATTCGAACCCAGGACCTTCTGGTTACGAGGCGACCTCGTAGACCATTGAGCCACTGGGACCCGATCCAATGGTCCTTGAATTCTAACTTCTGCCAATTCACGACCATTTCGCAATGTCTTCTTCGTGAGTAACTGTCCTCATCTTCGACCTGCTGTACCCTACTGGTCACGGCTTCCCACTAGAACCCCAGGTTAACTGCCTGAATAGGGCCAGTCACTAGTGAGCATCAGATTAATTTGCAAGTATTGGTTTTGTTATTTAATTCACTCCGGATTTTCCCGTTGACTGATTGGACCCTGAGTGCTTGGCCTAAGGTCGACATGTCGGTTCCCTGCGCAGATGCTTCGACGATGTCTGATTATTTAACTTAGCTCTAATGGTCCAAGTGGTCTAGTAGATAACTCTTCGGAGTTTGAAGCCACGGGTACTGGGTTCGAGCCTCAGTGGGAACACCATCACTCATCGAGGAATGCAGATGCAATGAGATGACCAGTCCCGGATAAGATCAAATGCGCATGTTGTATTCTACTGCTAGTCACCATCCACCAATCTACTATCAACAATTACCAACTAAAATGTCATCAAAACTAGAAAATACAAAGACAAAGACTTCATGAAGTTTTTAGAATTGCGTTCGTTTACACTTCTTGAGCATTCTCACAGTTAGACGAATCGGCTTTCTTGAGTATATTTTCCAGTGCCTTTCCAAGCTTTTTATTAACCATGGTAAAATAAAAGTGACAATCACAGAGAAATGCTTTAACTCATGACATTTTTACCTTAAATTCTTCATAAATCTCTTCACTAGATGACACTAACTACAGAGTTCCTATCATAGAAGTTGGATTATTTTTAAAAAATTATTTTATTCCTTTACGTTCCAAGTGAAATATAGGGCTTCAAGCTAGAGCTCTGAAGTTTTATGCGGTGAGATTGCTAGTCTCACGCCCAACCTCCTCTCTTTGCCGGGCTTAGTACCAGCTAAGCGACGTTTGGGAGTGCGTCAACCGGCGACTGAAAGCTGGATCACCTAAGTGACTGGCAAGCATTCTATCTCCACGTCACCGACGCACCTGGAATTCGGAAACCGTAGGTTATTGGGACTGACTGGATATTTCAGTTGTAATACATTCACGTAGTGACGTTACGGTCATGGGTTCGAATCCTCATAGGGTCACACATGAAAAGACCCAAGCCAGGATAAAGAAGATCTTCTGTACTTTTTAAAAGTCTTCAATGATTATTTCAGGCAGTTGCTTAGTGGTAAAATCTAACTTAATTCGAATCAGAACTCCATATGTCCAGTACTTGAAGGTTAATTTCTCATAGTAGCAAAATTAATATACCATAGTATTAAAATTTTTATAGAGAAGATTGCACATTCGCTGAACTTACTGACTAACCTAATTCCATTTTTAGTTTTATAGTAATAAATCCAGTTATCATTGATGATTCTTTTGCTTAAAGTAATGCACATAAATAATGCACAATAAATTTTTGATTCACAGAAACTAACTACTTAAATCTCACAAAAAAGTAGGTGCAAATTCAAGTCATTAGGTGGGAAGTTTGAAGAGAGATCATATCATAATTTGAATCTGCTAACTGACCAACACCTGAAAATTAATCTAATTTTTACAAATCACTGACTATAGGATGGAGTTTCCTTAAGTTTTAGTGAGAAACTGGATGTAAGGTGAAATATTCACTGATGACATTGGCTGGCTTTCGCGCTATATACCTCGTAAATTGGCAGAAGTTAGAATTCATGGGTCATTGGGTTGGGTCCCAGCTACTGAATAGTTTATGAGCTTTCCTCGTTACCTGAAGGTCCTGGGTTCAATCTCAGATGGTGTCATGTGGGCGTCCCACACAAGAACGAAACAACTGTTCAGTACTCCCAGAATTTTAATGATTCTATAACTGAAATCACTTCCTGATAAAACTTGGAAAATCTACAATGCTTGCCAAGGATATCTGATCCATGAGATTAAAGACTTAACTGTAAAGTACCACAAGGTTGCTTGTTTTGACAGTTAATTCAAGAATGCACATTTCATACCTTCCGTTACTCATCAGCTGGACACGTATCCATTCCTAGTGAGCGACAGCGTTTGCACGATACTTAGACTTATCACCTGTTGTCTACAACTCAGTGACGCGACACCTTGAAATAATCAGTCGACGTGAATCATCTTTTGTACAATGATTAAGATTTAATATTATTTATTTATGCTTTTGTATTCCATCTGATATCGATTTTGGTGCATTATACCCTGAAACGTATGTCCTCGATACGACTATGAAATATAGCTAAAAATTTGATAATATCGAGACTTCTAATCAAGAATCGGACGCAGCAAAGTGTGGCAGACTAATACTACCCAAAATTATCAGTTGGAGTTCATGAATATCGGCAATTAATGTAGAGTTCCCTTTTCAAATGGCTTATTTTCGCCTTACAAAGGACTTTTTGAACTACATTTGGTTTCCCTACTAATAACAGACTTATTTTTCAAGAGTTGATTTGTCTTTCGAGTTTGACCGTGGATTGATATCAGTTAGAGAACCATTGGAAACCAGTCAGGGAGTATTGGACAGCCGTTTCATCCTAGTTTGGGATTCATCGGCCATATACACCCACTGGGGTTCGAACCCAGCGAACTCGTATACCATTCAGCCACTGGGACTCGATTCAATGGCCAGCCCATGAATTCTGACTTCTTCCAATTCGTGATTTAGCGTGACCACCAACCAATGTCATCAATATGACATTCATCCTCCCTCCTGACTGGATGGACCTCACTGGTCACGACTTCTCACTAGAATTCCAGGAAACTCCGCCCTGTAGCAAGTCACTAGCAAGCATCAGATTACATTTTCAAGATTTTTTTTGTAAGGATTAGATTTGATTTGTAATTACGAGTTTGGCTTTTTTAAGTGTATAGCTCTACCTACTTTAGAGTGAAACTTAAGGAAGGTCTGATTGAAAACTACAATTCGCTTACATGTCTCATTTTATTTTCAACAACGAGAATATTTAATGACAATAATTAGTCATTATCAAGTTAGAATTCACGAGCCATTGAGTCAGGTCTCAGTTGTTGAATGGTCTACGAGCTTGCCTTGTAACCGAGAGGTCCTGGGTCCAAGCCCTGGTGGTGGGTGCGTACTGCCGACGGGACCCGAACTAGGATCAAGCAGCTATCCAGTACTCTCTCGTTTTCAATGGTTCTCTAACTGATATCAATCCTTGACCAAACTTGAAAAACAGCAGCGTAAATTTTTATCATTAAGAACAAGGAAAACAAGATTCACAATAAATAACGCTTACGCTTCATTTCATCTCTGTAAGCATTTTCCTCAATCTGATTGGTTAACTCTACAACGGGATAAATCCATTTACAACCAATCAAAATTAACAGACATATTGTTTCAACCAATATCTCAACCGAAACTTGTATACGCAGGAGGAGAAATAAAAACATGAGCAAGGGAAGAGAGGAGTGAGAGAGGAGATAAACAAATTCATACAAAACACAGAATTTTTCTCCCCTTACATTCGTTTATGACTATTATTATTATTACTTTATGTATTAATATTTCTGTTAAACAAAAAAGACAAAAAAAGGAAAACAGTAAAAGAGGGAAATATGGTAGAATGAATTCTCCACTGAAATGCTTCAGTTCACTTGGACAAGTTTTACAACCACGCGCGGTTGAACACTTTCACCTTCAAAAGTAAGAATGGATGAACGAATCAGCTGGCTAGTTAGCTAGCTGGTTAGCTAGCTAGCTAGATGGATAGATAGATAGACCGGAAAAGTTGCTCGATTGCTTATGTCATTTTTTCCTCTTGAAAAGAAGGATAGAAAGGTAGGCGATAACAGTGTTATAAGCAGAGAGAGAGAAAGAGAGAGAAAAACTAAAGAAGGATATGCAGAAATCCACTGAAAAAGCACAAAAATTAACAGGCTACAACGCATTGACGACTGACTGACTGATTGAATGAGGGAGCGAGTGAATGAGTGAAGCATATTAAAGAAGTAATCTATCCATTCAGTCTGTTGGAAAAGCAGAAAGGGAGAAAAAGACAGAGAGAGGGCGAAAACTCACCGTTTTTCTTAAAGACAAAGTAAATATGCCTCTGTGTATTTTGAAGAAGAAGAGTAAAGTTAACGCCTTATCGAATACAATATAAATGTATTTATATTGCCTTTCTTTATTCAACTGACCGAATAAACACGAATGAAAAATATTCACGTATAGGCCTTCTTTTTTTCTTCTCTGTTCAACTGAGTCTTTTATTCTTCATTTGCCTGACCGAATTCTGAATCCGTCTGTGAAATTCACATTACCATTATCGTCATAATCATCCTCCTCATCGCCATCACCATCATTACCGTCATCATAATCGTCATTATCTAATCACCGTTTTTATTATCCTTTAATACAGTCAATGAATTTTACCAAGAAAAAAGAATTCCTTTAATTACAATAATCATACTACTTCAATTGATTATTACTCAACACAGTGAAACAGTGACTGAAAATCAAACAGACCACAAAAAGAGGGGAAAAAAAGCATACACAGCATAATTGACCATGTCAGCGTGTAGTAAATGTCTTGTGTATTTTTTTCAAAATTAAAAAAAGTATTAACACTTCAGGAATATTACTTGTGATATTTTATTCAAACATTTTGATTTAGTTTTTTTTTGCACAAAATACTTCACAGAAGCTTTTCAATTGTTTCACTGACGACTTATATGTACAGTGCTCACCCGTGTACACCCATATCCACACTCACACACACACACGTAATACCAAATTAAACAACTTATACATACAGAAAGATAAACAATCCGTTGGAAACAAGAACGAGAAGTACTCATTCTAAGTGAATTAATTACAAATCAATTACAACTGACTTCATTTATTGTATATCAAGCGTAATAATATACATTTCCCATACTCATAAACGCATAAACTGCACACAAAAACATTAGAATACAACTAAAGCAAAGGTAAGTTTGTGTCAGTACTATTATATTTGGTGTACTAAGATTTAGTTAACTTTAAATCCACTTATTCACTTAATCAGTTAGTTAGTTAGTTAGTTAGTTAGTTAGTTAGTTAGTTAGTTAGTTAGTTAGTTAGTTAGTTAGTTAGTTAGTTAGTTAGTTAGTTAGTTAGTTAGTTAGTTAGTTAGTTAGTTAGTTAGTTAGTTAGTTAGTTAGTTAGTTAGTTAGTTAGTTAGTTAGTTAGTTAGTTAGTTAGTTAGTTAGTTAGTTAGTTAGTTAGTTAGTTAGTTAGTTAGTTAGTTAGTTAGTTAGTTAGTTAGTTAGTTAGTTAGTTAGTTAGTTAGTTAGTTAGTTAGTTAGTTAGTTAGTTAGTTAGTTAGTTAGTTAGTTAGTTAGTTAGTTAGTTAGTTAGTTAGTTAGTTAGTTAGTTAGTTAGTTAGTTAGTTAGTTAGTTAGTTAGTTAGTTAGTTAGTTAGTTAGTTAGTTAGTTAGTTAGTTAGTTAGTTAGTTAGTTAGTTAGTTAGTTAGTTAGTTAGTTAGTTAGTTAATGTAACCAAATACCGAAATCTGGATATGATCATTGAAATTATTGTTACAGTGGTTCTGATGTGCGGAAGCAGATCACCGCGATTAATTTTTATTCAGTATATTCCAGTAAACATTGTTGTAAATAACTTTATTGTTTAATTAATGGATGACAGTTACTGTGATGGAATATAGAACACCTGAATAATATATACATATATATAAATCATATTCTTAAAGTTATAGACTTTATAAGACAATGAGTGAACGGTTGATTTTGTTAATGGTAAATAGCAGTGAAATCCAGGGTGAGCACTTCGTGCTTCTTGGGTTTCCTCACCTGCATTCCCAGTGACTGATGTTGTTCCCACTAGGACTCGAGCATTATCCACTAGGACACGGGGGTTATGACATCCAGTTAAAATTCATTTTTCCTTAGCAGTTAAAGCATCAAAAAGTCGTAATGCAAATTAATGGAGTTTATTTAAGTGGTAAATATTTGCATAAGTTATATAAGACATTTAAGCTAATTGTATCGCTTAACCCTCATTTCAGAATGAGCATAAAAACTCATTAGTAAATTCATTCGTTCCAATACCAAATTAAAATTAAAAGGTTTATCATTGTTTTTCGTTGCATAGGTTATTCCAATTCCCTCAGATATGTTACATTAATGCATCAGCAAATGTGAGTTTTCTTAAGGCGACGGACATTGTCAGTTTATAACTATCAGGGCCCATTAATGCACACATATATTACTAAATTTAAATTACAGATTGAACTATTACTCAAGCTATTTGGTTATTTCATTTAAGAATGATATATAAAAGATAGTATTAATGAACGAATTGTTACCACAATATGTGGATATAATAAAGCAAGGCAATATTCTACATTCCAATAAGTATTTCATTACTTCACTGTTACCTGACTAGAAGTATCAATGTCAGCAGAATGAGGTGCAATACTGTATTTGTTTTTAAACAGGGATTCATCAGCTCATTAATAATTTCACATTAAATCACTAGAATAAAAACTTCTAAATTTAATTTTGGCGGTTCAATAATTGATACAACTTACATGATTCTACTGATAGTTATCTGAGATCTTAGTGAATAGTACTAAAGCAATTATTAAATTCTCGTGGCCAGAGTGATCCAGTGGACAACGCGTCGGCGTTTGAAACGGTAGGTACTGGGTTCGAGCCTCAGTGGGAACACCATCACTCACTGAGGAAAGCAGGTACATCCAGTTGATAAGACCCAGCTAGGACAAAATGCGTCTCCTAGATTCCACTGCTAGACATTATCTACTAAATTAGCACTCAAAGAAATTAGCCCAAGAGATTCATCTCACTGCTAAAGCATATCTGCATTCTACAAATATTCTAATTTTTTATGTTTTCACATCTGTCTACTTTCTGTTTACTATCTCCATTGGCGAATTAAGATATGTAGTTATTTATTGTATTCAATTGTCTTTTAATAATCATTTTTGTTTGTAACTGCTTATCTTTTTGTATTGTTATTGTTCAGGTGTTCAATGATCAATGGGTTCAATGAATGACGGGAATGATTTAGGCGAAGAAGGTTCAAAAAGAAAATTAAAAAGAGGTAAGCATATCATGTCCATATAATGAACACTATTCATTATTATTACTAATTTACACCGTTATTATTAAATAACTAATGTTATTAGATGTTTGGAGGCAATCGTCATGAATCCCATCTTGATCTAGGTTTCGTGCTAGTTGGCAATCTGCAGTCAGCAAGGTGTACCTGTAACCTTGAAAGAACTCATGTCCCTTCTAGAATTCGAATCCGCATCACTCAGTGCTGCAGTCAGAGACGTTACCATCGAGCTATCCGGGCTCGCAATTGACCTCCCATAGGACTAGTAACTAGTGTCCAGTCAAAGTAATTAATGTTCTTCACTGTTTTTATTTGAAAAAGCAAGAAGGAATATATGTAGGAGACTTAATAGCGAGCTCGGTAACGGTACAGAATATCAGAATAAAGATCCAAGTTAATGAAATAGTATTGTAACAGTATATTATGAAAAGTACAGTTAACGAGTTATATAAATTATTGGTTACTTGGTGATGCAGTTAAAATCCGCTGCTACAAATTATTAATACAATCCACAGACGTGTTCACTGTTGGAGTCGTGTCTACTAATAGAAGCTATGCACCGGTTGTAGAATAGTTTTCAGATAAGGATGAGAGGTTCTTGCAAAAATCCAGAGGATACAACACGGTTAGTAGTAAAACAAGTAGACAATATGAACCTGTAAGAAGACGAAGCGTCAAGCAGCACGCTATATATTTTTAAGTGCACTCCAAATTTATATTTATCTTACAACAAATTGTTGTAAACAAAGGTTGTGTACAATGTTTCCACTTGTAACATCTAACAAAAAATTGTACAATCATATTGATCCAGACTCCACTTATATTCACAGGATAAAAAGAGATGTTTGTTATTTCTCTTCCTTTTTGCCAACTATCAACAGTCTAAAACAGTTACATAATTCATTATGAGGGTAAATATATAAGGTGTTTCTTTAACTCCTTTGAGTTCTGGGTGGAACGTAGTACTTTAAGCTTGATGTTTGAAGTTTCGGTAGGCGTGGTGATATTGATTTTACAGAATGGGGTTGCTAGCCCCATGCCAATCCTTCACCGTTTACAGGGCTTACTACCAGGTAAGAGAGGTTTAGGAGTGCATCGACTGGGGATAGAACGTGAACCACATGCGGCATGTTTGTTGGGGATCCTACCAGAGAACTACCGCTTCCCTAAAGCGTTATCCACTAGGCCACTAGCGTCACGATGCTAAGAGATACTTTAAAACTATTCCAACTCAAAGAGCGTTTGATAATTTTTTGTACAAGTTATTCAGAGAAAACTTCCGCATAATATTCTAAGGTTCCATTCAGCTTGAACTGATGCATGTCATATTGTAAGAAATATTTAGCTATAAGTTTTGGAAAGCTTTTGGAAGACTTACCTTTACGTTATTTCTGTTGTGTGCTGTCTTTTGGAATTTAAAATTCAGAAGTATTACCTGTTTACTCTGCAGTCGATCTTCTGAATGCCGTGATATTAGTCAAACAGCTAATATGGAAACCATTAGAAGACTGAAATGTTTCCTTTAAGTCGAGTTAATTATTTAATGGAAAAGTAGGTTCGACCTATCTTACAAAGTGTTAAACCAATAAAATGAAATGGAACGTTATATTACGCCTATTTCTTGCACTTTTTGAACCAGTTATTATTGATCTTTCTTGGAAAGTGGTCATTTGGAATGGATGCTTCAGTTATGACTTTGAAGTCAATCTTATCAATGTCAGAGATAGGTGGTAGCTGGCAGTGGAATCTAAGGCACCCATTTCATCCTATTAGAGATGCATTAGATTTGGTATATGAGATATTCTGCCCTGTGTTCGTGTCTCACTGGAAACATCACCCCTCTTTAGGATGTAGGTACATGCAGTTGATAAGTTTTAAGTAGTGTAGAATGAATTACATACATCACCTTCTTTCCAAATTTAAATCTTGCAGAATAGTTCGGATTGAGGAAGTTTACTGGTCAACATCTCTCAAATAAATAAACATGTTTATATGAGCACGGTAACTCTGGAATTCGGAACAAAGTGAGCTAAACAACTGTTCCATATTTGTGTCATTTCTCTCTGGTGAGCGCTCTTCGATAATCCATGTTAGTTAGTAATGTGAAGTCGAAAGAATTTTGCACACACTGGACAACATTATCAACATTAGAACAACAATAACAGTATTTAGTTAACACTAATTTTCAGGTTACGAAATTTTTTAAAGGCGCTGTTGGTATATATGTGAGAGACGGTCTCCATACACATTGTCACATTGTTTTGCAGTTGTGAAAACTAACTGCCACCACTTTTGTTTTATATGTTTTATTAGAAAAATTGCAGAAAATTGCCTATTTTAAAAGTTTTTGATTCAGTCCCGTTAGGAGGTTGCATTACATACCTTCTGGATGATTCGTTTAGATTTACTTTGACTGAACAAGAACCTATCATTGGAATCCAACGACTGCTTCTTCAGCTGAAACGCTCTTTTCTAACATTGAAGAAGATGATATATGAATGGCTGGAAACCACTTGCATCAGCTAGTAATGCCTGCTAACCTAACCGAGATGATCTATGTAGTGAGAGGTTGTTCCTTTCACTGTACGTGGACTGACTAGGCAAGAATGGCCGAATCATTTCAGACTACCAGAATGATGACTAACTACTTGGTAAGATAGAATTCTTAATGAACCTCAAATAGCTAAACGGCGAAGAGATACTTAGATCACCTCAGTCTGGCTAGTAAACACTAGTCAGTAGTGTCACTTGCCCCTAACTACTCAAATTAATCCATAATATATACCACCTAGCTATTTCTCTCACTTTCTTTATGATATTTATGATGTTGAGCAAGTTACATATTGTGATTTGCATATTGGATGTTTGTAAAAGATGTTGTAGTGGATTTGCACCTTGGGCTCAGTAATTTCTCCTCACTTATCATTAAGGAAATGTACATATCTTCTTAAGTTCAGACCTTCAAACTTCAACACCATAAGCTAAAACACTTTTGGTAAGACTGTGTAAGATATTTTAAAAATCAGTGATCTTAGCTCACTGTATTAGGAGGATGGCTTACGTCACAAGTGAAATCTATTTCGCAATAAGACTGAAGGGAGATTTCGATTTCAGTCTGAACTAACCATGTCTACTTCTTTGTGGGAGACTATTGAACACTGGAGACTAAAAAGAGAAATATTAGTCAGTCTGTAGTGATTGCTTAGTATAGTAGGTGATTTTATGAAAATGGCATGGGTGAAAGTGAGTCACTGCAAACACTACTCACACAACTATTGACATTATGTATACATCTAATACAACTACCATCACAGTAACGATTTTTAATAGAAGTGCTGACTGCCTCTACTGTCAAAGAGTAGATATTTCACCTTATTCCATTTCGTAGTTTAATTCAAACCCTCCGTCTTCTTTGTTTACTCCGGTATGCACTCACTTGAATTTACGCCTATCAATATGTAAAAGTTCTTTACATCTCTTGCGTTCCAAGTGCGAGGTAGAGCTTTAAGCTTCGAAGTTTCACTAACTGTGATCCTGTTTTTCTGAAGGTTTAGATCTCTAGCCTTCTCTCCTGAGCTTATTAGGCAATTTTTAGGAGTGCGCTGACCGAGAATTGAACCGCAACCTCGTACGTGGTTGGGAGACATTTTATCATAGAACTACCGACACATTTCAATGAAAGCATACGTAAAATTTGTTCTCTGGCTGTCTGTTTGTAATTTTCCTTAAGAAGCTCCTAATTTATAATTACTTTTAATCATGTATATTTGAAGTAACTTACAAGAATCCCCAGTGAGTCATACATTAGAAACGACGTTCAGAGAAGAGTTACTCTTTCCAGCGATATCATTCTCAAGCAGTACAGTCGCATATATATGTAGTAAATTTTCTTACCAACAAAAGGAATATTCTCAGGTATTGGTTTTGTAGGGATTTTGTTTGATTGCATGGAGGATTTGGTCATGAGCTGACATCAGTTAGAGAACCACTGGAAAACCAGCTGGGAGTACTGGACATCTGTTTCGTCCTGGTTCGGGACTTTTCATCAGTATGCACCCACCGAGGCTCGAACCCAGGATCTTCTGGTTACAAGGCGAGCTCGTAGACCATTAAGCCACTGGGACCCGATCCAATGGTCCTTGAATTCTAACTTCTGCCGATTCACGACATAGCGCGATCATTTCGCAATGTGTTCTTCGATGAGTTACTGCTTCATCTAACTGATGTCAGCTCATGATGAAATCCTCCATGCAATCAAAAGGAATATTTCCAAGGATGTATCATTAGAACTGTAAACTTCGGATAACAAATTACATAATGTAAAATGCGTTAACTGGGCAAAAAGTAAGACATAAAATGACTGACGGGATTGAGTAGAATTCACTCAAAATTGAACGAGAGTTAAGTTGACAACAGTAGTAATAAGGGGTAGAAATTTAATAGGGAGTGAGGGAAGGAAATAATACAGTTAGAAAAGACAAAAAACAAAAATTACATATCCGCTGTCAAGACAGATCAGGCCTATTTTAGATTTAGTCACTGAACAAACTTCTTCTGTATGCAGAGTTAGAGATTTAGCGAGTGAATCTTCATTGCTTCTGCAGTTTGTAGACGCTTGACTTGTACTCTCTCAGCAATATTCCCGCTTAATCTCTAAATGACTTTGAAGCTGGTTTGCGGGTTATCTTGGTGTCCAAACTCAATCTGATGTTCCAGGATGGAGTTGTGGCAGAGGGATATTTTTTGAATAGTGAACTTTGGGTACGGTCGATATGCCTTGCTCCACACGAGCAGGTGAACTGATAGATACACAATGTTGAGGCCAAAAGTGGTAGCTTATCCTTCACATCCATGTGAATCATTGGTTGTGCTATATTTCGACAAACAAAATGTTGTGCAGTCCAAAGTTTAAATAATTTCCTTCCTGTTTTACCTCATTTCATTAGACAGTAACTGACGTGTAGCTAAGAGGCGTGGTTATC